ATATTTTGCTAACAGGATTGACTGCAATAGTTATTGCTCAAAATTTTGACTAAAATCTTGGTTGCACTTTAAGCATGTGAGGTAAAGTCTCCATTAAAAGCCACATCAAATTTTAGCATGATATCTATAAAATTACCAGAATTACAACCTTTTATTGTGTGTGTTTTAAGTGAGTTAGCTGGGGTAGCCTTCTTGAATTAGTTTGACTTGATATGTTAATTATTTATAGATCTATACCCRGTAATCCTTTAATGCAAATGCAGGAGAAGTTTTGCCATGAGGTAGAAACACAGAGACAAAGCAGACAAAACATTATTGTCCTCCTTTCAGTGGCTGGTGACAAAAAGAGTAATATCACTTTAAAGAGATCAAGTAAATCAAAGCCACCACCATCGAATCACAAGCTTGCTAAATGCCAGACAGTCCCTTAATCCACCAGCGCATAATCCCAACTGATCAGAGGTTGAGATTACCATCAGGATGGGAGGGGCCGAGCTGCAGACAGAACGATGAGAGAGGCTGAGCTCAGACATGACAGAGGAAAAGCATCACAGGCAGAGATTGGTGCCCACAAATAGCCGGCCAATCACGGCACAGGAAGATAGCGAGGCTGAGGGAGAGCTGCCGAACGAGGGAAGAGCTATGAAAAAGCGAGGGAGAAGGTGAAATCACAGCAGCGCAGACAAGAGACCAAACAAAGACGAGAGGAAGGAAGGATGAGTGGAGGAGAGAACGCTGATCTGTGAGGTCTCCAGAGAGGAAGAGGAAGGAGATGAGCAGGGGGAGGAAGGTGGGGCGGGGGTAAGCAGAGGCAGCAGAACAGAAAACATCCATCAGCTGAGGCAGCCATGCTCTGAGCCCTGGAGCAGCAGGGCTACGCAGACACAGAGCAGGCCTGGAGTCAGGCCCAAACCCCGGCCCTCYGTCCCAGAAACGCCTGCAGGGACAGAAGAAGTTTCCCCTTTCATCGGCGCCACATCAGGACCATGAGGACGTCCAGGAAGGGCAGCGTGGAGATGCYCGCCTTCATGCGGCAGCTGGTCAAAGAAACGGAGAAGAGGGTCAGCTCCTTCTTCAAAGTGGGTCGCGGAGGAACAKCGGAGGGGGAGCAGCCGGGGGACGGGGAGAAGGAGGAGGTCATCCCCAGCCCATACCTGGACCGTCCCGTGCTGGACAAGCTCACAGAAGAGGGCTGCGCACGCTGGGGCCTCACGTACGCCCTGGGAAGCATGCAAGGCTGGAGGGCCAACATGGAGGACTTCCACAACTGTGTTCCACAGCTGGGAGGAGAGCTCGGCGAGTGGAGTTTCTTCGCTGTGTTCGACGGTCATGCGGGCAGCACGGTGGCCCAGTACTGCTCCCAGCATCTTCTGGGACACATACTGGCCACAGGTGAACACCTTCGYAAAATAAAAATCYAATAATACKATGGAAAGAAATGAATTTCTGATTACTGGTTGTTACTTTTTGCACACAGGTGGAACTGGACCAGAGGACAACCCTGAAAAAGTGAAGGCAGCCATCATGGAGGGCTTCTTACAGACGGACAAACACCTGCACTCTGTGGCCCGCAGGGAAGGCTGGGAGAGAGGGGGCACCACAGTGGTGGCCACCCTCATCTCGCCGTATTACATCTACTTTGCCAACTGCGGCGACTCCCGGGCCATGCTGTGCCGCTCTGGACAGGTGTGCTTCTCCACTGAGGACCACAAACCCTACAGTCCCCTGGAGAAGGAGCGCATAGAAAGCGCAGGMGGCTCCGTGTCCCTCCAGAGGATCAACGGTTCCCTGGCGGTATCCCGAGCCCTGGGGGACTTCAGCTACAAGGGRGCTGAGAACCGGACACCCAGCCAGCAGATGGTGTCCCCGGAACCTGAAGTGTGCGTGGTGGAGCGCTCGCCACTGGACGAGTTCCTGGTGCTGGCCTGCGATGGGGTGTGGGACACCATCAGTAATGAGGACCTGTGTGCGTTCGTCCACAACAGACTGCAAGTCTGCACCGACCTGAGAGACGTCTGCGCTCAAGTCATCGATCTCTGTCTGTACAAGGTCAGAGCGAGTCTCTTCAAACCACCGGATGTTACTTTAAGTCCATTTGATTACAAGATGATCCTGCTGTGATCAAAACAAAACTCAGTGTCAGGTTCACACAGAGCTGCAGAAGACAAAGGCGATCAATGTTTTTGTCTGTGTGTGTGTCTGTGTGTGTKTTGCCAAACTATTTCATGAAACACTGGACAGATGTGAATGAAACTTTCAAAAAAAGTCATGTGCAATGTATGYTTGATTTACTATTGAGACAACCTGTTTCAAGATGGCTACCACAGACAACTGACCTAAAAACACTCCAAAGGCTGTAAATCAGATGGTTCCACGGACAAAATGTGGAGTAGCTGCAGCTAGAAGTCATTTAYAACAAATATTCCAAGAGCCAATCATTGCCCCCAATCTTTGCCTTGATCTTTAGCATTAACTGTTGGAGTTAACTGTTAGCAAAATATCTCAAAAACCACTGAAACTTTCCAAAATAATTACTGAATCTACATCAAAAACTGATTATTAATTGGAATCTGAACAATTCAAGATGGCTGCTTCAGCTAATCCCCCATTAGCAACACAAYAATGGGTATCAATTTGTCAAACATTGAGGTCAAATCTGTTGTGGTGGTAGCWGAGAGTCATCTCCAACACATATACTGAGAGCTAACACTTCTCACGAGATGTCCCAATGTTGCAATAGTGCATAATGTGGTTGACAAGGTTTGAGCAAAACAACTAGAAGTCCATCTCATAAAATGATTTCAGCTCCAAACTCTGGCAGGAACGTTGTCAGGTGAAATGCTGTCATTTAAGGAATATTTTATTTCAGAACGGACTACATTTTATGTCTCATCTAATTGTTGAAAACACCCCATTGTGTTTTAGTTCTGTTCGTAGAGTTTCCGTGTTGCTAAAGCTGCAGTCTTTAAAGGAAATGATGTTCGGAAGATAGAACAGTTTATAATTAATACAGTGTTCTTGGTGGAAGGACATTTATGCAAACAGAGTGGACTTGAACAGTCAGTAAAGTTGCACGTGTGTGTGTGTGTGTGTGTGTGTGTGTGTGTGTGTGTGTGTGTGT